GAGTGATTCCTATGGCATATGAATATTTTATTATATTTGGTCATTTCTATTTTAATTTTATATATTTTGGCATTATCTTAATTAGCAATTTATTTTTTTAAAAAAATATATATAAAATAAATTTAAATCAGTATATATTTTTATATTTAGCTTAATTTATTAAATTATTTTTTAAAATAATTAACAATTACAAAAATAAAACTATTAATTAATTAAGTATTATTTTTATTAATATTGGACATTATTTGACATATTTTTTTATATAATTCCTTTGTAATCTTTTTTAAAAATTAAACTAAAAAAAAATAAAGTTAGAAAAAATATATATTTATCTTTTTTTTTTTTAAATGATTATTTTTTTTTTTTAAAAATAAAACTATTAATTAATTAAATATTATTTTTATTAATATTAAAATTAAAACAAAGTATTTATTTTTATGAAAAAATTTAATATTTTAAATAATTTTTTTTACTGAAATACAAAAAAAAATTTGAATTATAAAAGATTAAAATTAATTTTAAAATTCATTGTATTTTATAAGATTATAAAGTTTCATTTTTTTTATTTATTTATCAGAAATTTATTATTGTAATAAAATATTATATTCAATACTTTATAATTGATATAATTTACAAAATATGTTTGCAAGATGATAGCATCATAAGTCTATTGTAAGTAAAAAATAAATATAAAATTAATTCAATAAAAATCATTTATAGAAATAAAACATATTTTAATATATGTCTAAAAAACAAATTAATTTTGTAGTATTTTAATAATTAGATTTTTCTATTGCATAAATTTTAATATTAATTTAAAAAAAAATATAGAAAAATATAAATAATAATAAAATAAAATACCATAAAATAATATATTTATATATTTTTAAAAAAATTAAAATAAATTTATTAATAATAATCAAAGTATAAAAATATAAGAAAATAAATATACATAAATATATTATATATTATTTATTATTTATTTTAGATTTTTGTTCTTTTATTAATATATATATATATATATTAATTAAATGTTTTATAACTAATAAAAAATTGCTGACATAAGAAAATTAGACTCATAATCTAACGTTTAACCTTAATTTTTAATAATCTGTAATTAAAAATAATAATATTCGTACAATTATTAGATATTTTAACCAAATGTATTTATATATTTAAATATGAAAAAAAATGTATATGAACATTTTAAAAATTCAAAGAACACTTTAAATCAAGACTTTAAATAAATATATTTACAAAATTTTTAATAAAATTTTCAAAATAACGATTTTTTAACTTTAAATAGTATGAGTAATAAAAGTGAGTCTATAAGTTAGAATTAAGGAAATAATTAAATAAATGAAAAAGAAACTTTTAAATAGATAAAATAACTTTAAATATGTGGTATAAGAAAAATAAATGTAAATGAGTAAATAAATAATTAAATTAAAATATTCTAATAAGATGAATTTTTTAGAGTTAGAAATTTATAATGTACAGTTAATATAATCAAAAATATATTGGGATAATTCTTAAAATATATAGAAAAAAAATAAGATATCAACAAACAAACTAAATTTTCTTTAAAAAGAATGTATAAAAGGAATACACTTACAAATAATTTTTTCATAAAAATATGTCATAATTTAGAATATAAAAAGCACTTATTAGAATTTTTGGACGAATTTAAAAGTGATTAAATATATAAATCAAACATAAAAAACATTTAAGAACATCTTGAGTTCATAAAATATATTTAAGAAGGTAATTATAGAGTTGTATCTAATAGAAAAAGAAAATATTAGCATAGGTACTTATCTTAATTTAATGTTATTTATTAGAAAAAAAATAATATTAAATGACAATCTAAAATTATTAAAAAATTATAGTATTTTTAATATATTATATACATATTTATATTTTTATAATTGATACTATAATTATAGATTTATATATTTGTATAATTAAAAAGAAAATACAATTTTTTTTTTTTTTTTTAAATATAGAACATACTTATATAGTTAATTTTAGTTATTATAAAATGTTATTTGTTAATTTTTTATTTAAATGAATTTTATAAAATAACTATCAATATTTAATTTTATAATTTCTTAATATTTATATAAATTAAAAATAAATACTAAATATATTTAAAATATTATAAAATAAAACAATATTTAAATAGTCTATATATAAAATTATATAATATATATCTTGTTTTTATTTTATTTTATTTTCTCTATTTTTTTTAATACAAATAGTAAAATATTAAAAAAAGAGGATGTTATATATTTTTTCTAGTATATTTTTTTATATTTAATTGATTTTTTTAAAAAATATATGTAAAATAAAAAAATCAAATAATTGTTTTTTTAAATATAAAATATAAAAAAAGTATATAAAATTATAAATTCCTTATAATTTATTTTTAATAATATTTATATGCATCTAAATAAAAAAAAAAATATATATATATTTAGATTATTATTAAAATTTATAAATATATAACTTATATTTTTGTATTAAATATATAATTGATATTTCTATATTGATAATTTTTTTTACTTTTACATCAATAAAAAAATAATATTTAGACTATAATTTATATAAATAATTTATTATTAATTTTTTCTTTAAAAGTTTTTTTTTATATTTATTTAAATATTTTTTTAAATATATATTTTTAAATCAGTATAAAAATAAATAAACATTTTCTTTATTTTTTATATCAAAAATATAGTAATTATAGTTAAAGAATATTGTTTCTGTCCATTTTTCAAAATAATTTAATTATTTATTGCTTACTCTTATTTTAATTTATTAAAAATACACAATTAATTAAAATATATATATATATTTTACTATTTTCGGGGTTTAAAATTTTAAAATATTAATTTATCTTTTTTGATGTGACCAATTATTAAGATATAATATAAATTTATCAATTAAAAAAATTAATATATCCATATTTTTACAAAATTAACTTTTTTAGATAAGGAATATAATATATATAATTTTTTATTTTTTTAAAAATATTTAATGGAATATCTAAAGTACATTTTCTAGTTAATTTAATATTAATATTTATATATTTTTGTAATTTTTTTATTTCTCATTTTAAATATCTAATAAAATGAAGGATATTATAACAAAAAAAAATTAAATATTTTTTTTTTAAAAAATGAAAGGAAAATTGAGAATCTTTAAACATTATTTTTACCTTTATGTATTTTAAAATTATATATAATAATTAATACATATATTTAATATTTATATATTTTAAAATAAAATTTTAAATTTTAAAATAATTATTTATATAATTTCATATATTTCTATTTTATTTTATTTTTTCATTATTTTATTTCTTTTTATTTTTCTTTTTTTATCTTTTTCATTTTATCTAATAATTTTCCAGCATCAGTAAATGCATTTGCGGAGTATTTTTTAATTTTAAAACCAAAATCGGTTAAATCTTCTTTATTTTTAAATTCTCCTTTAGAACTTTCAAGTGTTGCCTATAGTCCTTCATATCTGTCTTTAAATTCAGATTGTAAAACTTTCTGCGTTAAAGGTTCTAATTCAAATAAGATTTTTAAAATTTCTTTATTTTCTTTATCATTTTAATTTTATCTTAAATTCTATTCATGTATTTTAGGAATATTACTAATAGTTTTTTTAAAGTTAAGGAAGTCGTTTCTTAAATTTTAAATTTTTTCGTATTCTTCTCCATAACTTACATTTTCTTCATTTTAGATTTCTCCTTAATTTTCAGGATATTCAGATTTCATTGATTCTGGAATTCTAGATCCTCCCAAAGGTACAACTACTTAAGAACCTTGATGAAATTTATCGCTTTAAGGATTAAATTAATTTTTAAATTCTTATTCTGATTCTTCCATCATTTATTACATGGTTTATTTTATATCCATTTTTATTTTATTTTATTTTAATTTTTATTTAAAATATATATTGGATAATGAACTATTTTTTTATATATATATTTAATTTTAAACAAAGAAATTACAGAGAAAAACAATAAAAAAAAACAATATGAGTATATAATATGTTTATATTTGTTTTTGATATTTTTTTTTTGGAAATATAGGTTTGGCTAATATAAATAAAAAATTATTTATAAATATATTAGAAAGTATAATTATTTTTTAAAATTTTATATGAGTATTATAATTATTACTATCAATTATTCACTAGAAATGAATTGAATAATTTATTATTATCGATGGATAAATAATAATTGTTATTTTTATTTTATACTTAGATTTTTATTGATATTATTAAGAATGTCATTATCTGAATATATGTAATATATATTTGATAATAAGCAATTTGTATTATTTTTATATATAAAGCTAAAAATATTAAATATATATCTTTATTAAATAAATCATTAATATTTAAATAATTAATAATAATTTTTTATTCCTTAAAATTCATAGAATTAAATAAACTTTTATTATTAAAAAATATAACTTAATTTATTAAATAATTATTTTATAATTATTGAAAAAAAAAAAAAAAACACATATCAATATTTTATTTTCTTTTAATTAATTTAAAAATATATAAAAACAAAACATATTATAAAAATAAACATATTAATACATCTTCTAAAGTTTAAAATTTTTCAAAAGGTTTTTAAAAATTTAACGTAAATTAAATAATATAAGTACCAATTATATATTTTTATAATTCAAATATGTAATTTTTATTATTTTATATACTTATAATTTTTTTTTTTTAATATAAATTCAATATGATTTTATTAAGTTAATTAATAATCTTATAATTATTTAAAAAAAATTACTAATATAATTTTTTTTTAAAATAAATATTAATTATATCAAATTAAAATGAAATATTTATGTTAAATAGTTCAATGCTTATAATAAAGCTTCTATAGAATTCATTTGTTGATATTTATATTTCATATAAATTTGATTTTCTATTATATAGAGATGATTAATTTTCAAATTTATATATATTGTTTCCTGTTATTTATATTGATTTGATTTTAATTATTAATTATATTATATTATATAATTATTAAAATACAATAAATTTTTACAATTTAGCAATTTTAAAAGGCGCAATTTGTATTATTTTATGATCGCGCCTTTTTAAAATATATAAAACAAAAAAATATTTAATTATAAATAAATAGTTTATTATCTATTAATAAAATAAATAATTTAATAAAAATATAAATTTAAAAAAGGAAAAAATATAAATAATTAAATAATTAAACTATCATAAAACATTATCAATAAAAATGAGTAAAAATAGCCAATTTATATAATATTAAGATCATCTTTCTTAATTTTCTTTCGACTTTTAAAATTAGCATTCGTAATTTTGTTATTTATTTTGTTATTTATTTGTTAAAAATTAAAATAGTTAAATGATAACTGCTGGATAAGATTGCTTAATGAAAGTTTATAATATTCAAAGTAACGGAAAATTAGTATTTTCTCATGATATAAATTGTGATGATGCCTATGCTTTAGCTATATCATAATAAACCGGAGAAATTTATTTATCATATTGTAAAAAAAAAAAAAAAAAAAAAAAAAGTAAAAATATAAATATAAATAATTATATATATAGATGAAAGCAAAAACATTTTATGTTCATAAAAATTGGAAAATGAAGAATCTTAGTTTTAGGGTCTTCAAGTTTGTAACTTCGCAGGCCCTGTATACTCTTTAACAATAAACGAATCAGGAGAGTATTTATCAATAGCAGGTTAAGAAAACAAAGGGTATATAATGAATATATAAAATGGTGCAAATATTCTTAAATAGCTTCCTAATTCTCATAAAGGCAGTGTTTTATATACAACAGTTGATAATGAGGGAAATTATGCAGTTTCAATTGGTTGTGATGGATATGCCCATATATATAATATAAAAGAAGAAGAAATACAAATGGAAGAAAGTGCAAAAGTATCATATGAAATGACAACAGAGAAAGAGTTTGTAATGAAATGCGAATTTAATAAGAAATAATAATTGGCAGTAGGTGGAAATTGTTCACTCTAAATAATTGAAAAAAACGAAGATGGTAAATGGATAACAAAAAGATATTCTAATATAAATCATTAGAGAGTAAATTTATTATATTAAATATTTTTGCTATTTTGTTGTTGTTGTAAATAAAATTTATATATATATATATATATAGGATATTTAAATTTGTTTATGGATAAATGATATTGTTCTATTAACATATGGAATCGAAAGAGATATTAAACTTTGGAATCTATAAAATGAATAACTTTTGGAAAATCGAAAAGTTAGTTATGATATTAAAAATATTAAATATAGTGAGAAGAATAAAGCTATTTATATTAGTGATTCAGAAGGAAATTTTTATATGTGGGAAAATTTTGATTTTGGATAAATTCTAGAATAAAAAAATAAGCCGTTTATTCATCATTAGGAAACTAATTAAGATATTTAAAAAGAAAAAAAATAAGAAATATAATAGGAAAAAAAGATAGAAATCAAGGAAGAAAAAATAAATTATGATATGTAAATTGAAGAAGAATAAGAGGAAATGTAAATTTTTTCAGCATAAAAAGAAAAAAACGAAGAAATTTCTTAATTTGAAAAGCCTTTAATTTTTAATACAAAAGTAGATAAGAAATAAAAATTGGATGTCTTAAGTTAAATAATCAAATAAAAGAATAAATAGGAAACTATTGTAAATAATCATATCCCTGCTGAAAGTTAAGTTCAAAAAATATTGAGAGACGAAGAAGAAATGGAAGAAAAAGTTGATGAAGAAGAAAAGAAAAAAACAAAGAAAAAAAAAGCCGAATAATTATAAGAAATAGTATACTCATCTTTTATTTAAAAATAATTAAATAGAACTTGCCTTTGTTGGAATTTAATAGGATAAATAGTATTAAGAGAAGATAATAATAATCTTTTTATTGAAATTGAATTCGAAGATAAAACTTTTCATTAGAAAATTTGGTTTAAAAATTTACATAATTATTCTATTTCTACAATGAATAAATAAGGCGCATTTTTTGCTTCTAAAGCTATTAATAATAACCCTGAATTAAATTATAATGATTAATAATTGGAAAATTTCGAATTCGATTAAGATGCCTATGATTATTCATTTGTAAGCTTTTATTCCTTTTCTAAAATTGATAAAATTAATTGGTAATTTAAACTTTAATAAGACGAGAATGTATTTATTGTTTATTTAATTTATATTTATTTAAAATATTTAAAATAGGTTGATTGTATTTGTTTAGGCGAAGGATGGTGCGCATTATCATCAGATCTTTAGTTTATTAGAGTTTATGATATATTTGGTATTTAAATAAAGGTGTTTTCATTCTCTACACCTATTGTATGTATATCTGGATATAAAAACTATTTATGTTATATTTGTTTGAAATAAAAACCTATTTTAGGTTGTTAATAATTAGAAATGGAAATTATTGATATTAATACTTTTTCGAAAATATTAAGTGCGCCAGTTCCTTTAACCCCTTTTTCAACTATAAAATGGTTCGGATTTTCTGAAGAGGGGCTTATCTTTTGTAAAGATTCGAAAGGAGTTATTAGAGCTTTTTTAGGGTTTAATTAATGGGTCCCTGTTTATGAAGATTAGGGAAATATTAATTTATGGGTTAAAGGTAAATGTTATCTTTTTTTTTAATTTCATATAGACTATTATTTTTAAAAAAGGAATGATTGATTATAAAATTATTGGCTTCAAATTATAAAAAGATGATTTAGAACCAAGAATTATTAATGGATTTTAGAATGAAAAAAGTCAAGAAATTTAAGTTTTTTTATGTGATTATTTAATTGATAATAGTGAAATTCATATTTTGAGATAAAAATAGCTTATTTTAGAACATTAAAGATATAGAGTTAAACATTTTAAGTATTTTTTTTATACAAAAAATAAAATAAAAAATAGAATATTATATTTAATTATAAAGTGAAAACTTATAAAATTAAATTTAATAAATTTCTAAAGAAATCGATATTTTAGTTATAAAAATATTCAAAAATTGTCTTTTACACTAAGAAAAACATTATTAAAGAGCTTTTTCTATTTTAAAAAATAATCTCATTGATCCAATTTATATTGATAGTTGTATTTAAATTTCTTAAATTGCAAATGTAAAAGAGCTTATATAAATGCTTGAGAATTTAAGACAAGTAATTTATTTTAAACAAAAAAATATATATCATTTGTTTTTATTTTTAGGACTTATATAATAATAAAAATAATAAAATTTAAAAACCAAATAATGAAAGTTATTAAATTTATGAAAATAATAACAATGAAGACAAAAAGAAAAAGAAAAATCAACTTTTATTAAAAAATGTATTTTATTTTATAATTATTTCTAAATACCTATTTACAATAGGATTGCATTGAAAATGATGAAAATAGCCTACAAAAAATCAGTGTTAATATTGATAATCTAAAATCTATAGATGAAGAGAATAATCCTAAACAATAGAATAATTAATAATAACAATAAGTAAATTAATATTTTTAATATTGAATAATATAGTTTTATTGTATTTAATAATATAGAAAAAATAAATTAACCCATTTTAGAAAAACAATGAAGTAAAAAGAGCTGACTCTATTATAGATGAGTTAAAACAATAAAATAATAATAAAAGAAAAGTACTATATTACCTATATATTTTTTTTAAACTAATATTAATATTTATATTTAATTAGAATGAAGTTTAACAATAAAAAGCCGAAAAAAAGATAAAATATTGATTTTTTTTTTTTTTTTTAAACAAAAAATAATTTATTATTTATAATTAAAATACATATTAATATTTTTTATTTTACAAAGACAAAAAAATAATAGTAATGTGTATAATAATTTTTTCCTATATTAATCAAAATAATAATGAAATTTATTTATATAAAAATAAAACAAACAATTATATTAATAAAAAATAGTCAATATTTATATTTAGTAGAATAATCTTTTGGTGCAATAACTAAACCTTTTCCTTTTCTAGCCCCTCTATAAACAATTTCGCATATATCAATAAATTCCTATTTATTATTCATAGCCCAATTAATTTTATTATTATTACCAGTACCTAAATCAATCATCATATGTTTATTTCTAAAAAAGAACATAACAGTTACTGGGTCATATAATTCATACATTGTGTTAAAATCGGGAACTTTTGTTATATCAACTAAATATATTACTGCGAAATTTTTTATTTTTTCGGCTACCTTATATAATATTTCATCCATTTTCATACATTCTGGATCCCAATCATGTCCAAATCTTATTATTACCAATCTTTCTTCTTCGTGAAGTATTGCTTAATCAACTTCCCATCCGTTTTTTAAATGTGGCAATAAATAAGACATTTTTACTTTAAATTTTTTTTGTTTTTTTTAATTATTATTTTTATATAATCTATTTTATTATTTTTTAAAATTTTTTGTTTTTATAATATTGAAACATAAGAATTATTTCTAGAAAAAATTGATCTCTTATTTTTTTTTTTTTTTTTCTTATTTATAAAAAATTAAAGTTTTTTTTTTATTCTTTCTAATATTTTTTCTTGTGATTTTTTTTTTAAATAAAAACAATTCTTATTAATATGTATTTATTTAAAATATAATTCATTTTTTTTATTTTTTTTAATAAATAGTGTTTTTTTTTTTTTTTTTATTGAAAATAAAAAAATATTTAAAAAATGGGTTTTTGGATAAATGTTTTGATGGTAATAAGTGGATCAATTTTATTATATTTTATAAAATAATATTTTAACGGAGGAGTATGTACAATCCGAAAAGAAATATCAAACAAAGTAGTAATTATAACAGGAGCATCTTCTGGAATAGGGTTAGAGACAGCCCGATATTTAGCAGCAATGGGCGCGACAATAATATTTGCATGTAGAAACAGAGATAAGACATTATATTTAATAGATGAAATAAAAAAAGAGACAAATAATGAAAAATTGGAATATATTCCTTTAGATTTAACTAGTATAGAATAAATAAATTATTTTTGTTTGCTATTTAAAAAGCGTTTTAATTAATTAGATATATTAATAAATAATGCAGGTAAAAAATTGAATTATTTACTTATTTATTTTATAAAACGAAAAGGAATAATGTGTAGTAAATATATGTAAAGTTAAGATGGATTAGAATTAACTTATTCTGTTAATTTTTTGGGACATTTTACTTTGACTTATTAATTATTAGATTTAATTAGGAAAAATTCACGTTGTAGAATTATTAATGTATCATCTGTTGCGCATTCAAAATGTGATGAATTAGATATTTCAAGAATTAATGATATTGATTATTTTGATTCGTATACATATATATTTATATATATTATTTCTTTAATATATAATTGAAACAAAACAAAAAGATTTTAGGCATATTGGAGATCTAAACTTGCCATTATTTTATTTACGAAAGAGCTATAAAGAAAACTTGAAGGATTAGGGCCTAAATGTGTTTGTGTTCATCCTGGACTTAGCCGAACTGATTTAGTTGATGAATTATTAAGCGAAAAACTATGGCTTAAAATTGTTATGTATTTGCTTTATCCTTTATATTGGCTTGTTACTAAAGATTCTTGGCAGGGAGCTTAAACTGCTATCTATTGTGCTTTGGAAAAACATGATAAGTTAATGTCAGGAGGATATTATGTTGATTGCGAATTGTCTAAATCTTCTTAATTATCAGAAAATAAATTATTGGCATAAGAATTGTGGGATGATAGTGCTGTGGTTTTAGGGTATATATGATATGTTTTATTTTATCGTATATTTATGTATTTTTTTCTGTTTAATTTTTTCTTGTTTAATGTTTTATATAAATAATTAAACATTGTTAAGGAATAAATATGAAAAAAAAATAGACAGAAAATAAATTTAAAATATTTAAAATTTAACAATAATGAGAAAAATAATTATTTATAAACAAAAAAAAAAAATTATAATTTATTAATATAGTTAATTAATTTATATTAATTTTCAAATTAGTTATATTAATAATATTTGGAACTACGTATATTGTTTTCTCATTTATTTATTTATTTTAAACTTTTTAAATATCCTATTAAAATCTATTAAAATAATTTAAAAACAAAAATTTCTATTCATCTCTATATTATAAAAGGAAAATCTGTATCTTTTTTTAAAACGGGTTTTTTATAATGATGCTTAAAATTTATATCTAAAATTAAAAAAATTAATTAAATATATTTTTTTTTTTTTAAAAAAAAAAAAGAATTAAAGGAAAAAAAAAAAAAAAATGTTAAAAAACATCATAAAAGCATTAGGAATAATTATATTTATTTAAGAAACATTCTAAACTTAAGGCAATATTCCAATAAATATTTCCAGTTTAGATTCTTCTTTATAAGATATACATTGGTGCGGAGAAAATTCTACAAACGATTAAGGTGTAGTTTTATTAACTTCAAAAGGAAGTGTTTATATTTCTGAAAACAGAGGAATAAATTGGTAAAAAAAAGTTGAATAATTTATTAGAGAAGGAATTAATGCATAATAAAATCTTAATGAAGATGTATAAAAATTATTTAAAAGATAAATATTAATTTATTAATATATTCAAATATAGGTCGGATATGTATACAAAATGATTGCTAGTCCTATAAATTCTAATGAAATTGTATTTATTGGATCTTAAGGAATTAATTGGATTTCAACTGATTGTGGAATTACTGTTAAATCTTTAGGAGCTAATATGAATTTAAAAGAATTCGCTTTCCATCCAGTTGAAAGAACTTGGATGATGGCTTCTTCTTGGTCTACTTGTGATTCTAATTCTTAAAAAATACTAAGAATGATTGTGTAGTTACTAAAGATTTATATTTGTCACAAAACTTTGGTTAAAAATGGAAACTTTTAACCAAATATGTTGTTTAGTTTGCATGGTATAATTAAATTTAGTTCATTTTTTTTATTAATATAAAGGGCTTAAAAATATATAATTGCACACGATAAAATTCCTATGTAAAGAATTCTTTATTTTAAGGAAATCGGAAGTAACAAGATATCAAAAAAAAAAAAAAAAAAAAAAAAATTTTAAATAGATATTGGATCATAAAGAATTTAAGGCTGGAATATGAAAACTCATTTATTTTATTCAGATGACTTTTTATAAAACGAATAAAATATGATAGTTAATTAAGGAAATAAAGTAGGGGGAAAAAAAAAAAAAAACATTATTATTAATAATATTTTTTAAATAAATAAAGTTCTTAATAACTGAAAATTACCTATTTGCAGCACAAGTATTTAATAGTGAAACACAAGAAGTAAAGTTAATGGTTGCTAATGCAAACTCTTTTAATTATAATTTTGATTATGTAGTAATCGATTAGAATATTTTTTAACATTCATTTACAATTTTAGATACATCAGAAGTTTAACAAAAATATTATTTTATTTTATTTTTTTTTAAAAAAAAAAAAACAAAAAATTTTAATAGGGATAAGTTTTTCTCAATTTAAATTAATATGGATCAAAATCGCCTTTAGGAGAAATTTATTAATCAGATTCAACAGGAAGAAGATATTCATTATCACTATAAAATAATATGAGAAGCTAAGATGGTTAATGTGATTTCGAAAAACTATATGGAGTTGATGGTATATATATAGCTAATGTATATGATGGAAAGAAGGTCGAATAATATAAAAAAGATTTATAATAATAAAGCTAAACTGAAGGGGATGAAAATATAGAAAAAAATCATGAAAAACCAAATTTAGAGAAGTATTTATAAACAAGAATTACCTTTAATAAAGGAGGAGATTGGATTAAAATAAGAGCTCCTTCAAAAGATTCGTAAGACCATAGAATAGATTGTGACTATTCAAAAGGGTGTTCTCTTCATTTACATTCGGTATCTTCTAAAATGGAATTCGGACCAGTTTATTCAAGCGAAAACAGCATTGGATTAGTTATAGGAACAGGAAACATTGGATATTATTTATAACAAAAAGCAAATAAAACAAATACTTATTTATCCAGAGATGGAGGATTAAGCTGGTTTGAAATAAAAAAAGGCTCCCATATATATGAAATGGCTGATCATGGGGCTTTAATATTATTAGCTCCAAATTAAGTATCTACAGACAGCTTATATTATTCATGGGATGAAGGTTTGACTTGGAATACAATAAAAATAAGTACTACTTTGATTAATATAAATAATATAATCACTGAACCAGGAAACATTTCGGATAAATTTATTATTTATGGAGAGTTAGATAATCAGGAATTAGAGGAAAACAAAGGAGTTGTAATTTCTATAGATTTTTCGAGTTTACATCCGAGAGTTTGCGAAGGATAAGAATCTCCAGGAAATGCTGACTCTGATTATGAATATTGGGTTCCCCATAATCCAGGAGAAGGGTGTCTTTTGGGAAAAGAAATTAAAATTGTCAGAAGAAAAAGAAATGCCTAGTGCTTTAATTCGGAAAATTTCGAAAGACCTGTTTCAGTAAGAAGATGTGAGTGTACAGAATTAGATTGGGAATGTGATTTGGGGTTCGAAAGAGTCACTAAAGATAGTGTTCATTAATGTATACCTATTTAGGGGTATTAAGGGAATGTCTTTTAGGAAGAATGTACTGATTATTATTTTGTTAGTAATGGATATAGGAAAATTGCAGGCAATTAATGTACTGGAGGAATCGATCATGAACCTACTAAGGTTTCTTGTTTGATTTTTGGAGTTTTTAAAAGAAATGGATTCTTTAGTTAATTATTGTTCTTTACTTTTTTAGGATTTATGGCTTATTTTGGATATTAAAATAAGGAAAAAGTAAAAAAAATCCTCACAAATATTAAAGTTGACCTAATGGTAGAAAAAATTAGAGAGTTGTTAAATAAAAATAATAATGTGTAAAAAGGATATGTTAATTTAAGTTAAAACGACGAAGAAACCTTTAGGAACGGCGAAAGTCATAAAGAATCATATTAAAGTAACTAAGATAAAGAAAGACAAGAAGAAGATGATTTAATTAATAAAATGGTTTGAAATAAATATATATATACATATATATATATATATATATATATATTGTGATTTTTTTAATATATATTTATAGCTTTTAGTGTTATTATTTTAATATATACATATTTATTCATATGTATATAATATATATATATATATGTATATTATTATTTTTTTCATATGTTTTTTTGTAAATCAGTATATAAATCAATCATATGCAAAAATCTCTTGGCTTCTATTGTAGGTTCTATAGATTTGATTTTTTTAATGAATGTTTTTTCACGATAAACTCCATCGTTTATGTTTTTCTCGCCTTATGTCAATAATAGTAATCTAAATTCTTTATTTTGACAAGAAGACAATAGTTTTTTTTTTAATTCTATATTATTCTTATTATCTGCAATTCTAAATTCTTTAGCATCGAATCCTTTTTTTTTTATATTAATAAAAAAATAAAAAAATATACCAAATAGTTGTTTTCCAATATCATCAAAACATTAAGTATATAAATTTGCAGTACTATCGGTAATAGAAACAGTCGCAATATACTTAGATTCTGGTTCGTCTGAAAATTAATTGCAAAATTAACAAAACCAATTTTCATTTTATTAATTATAAATTAATTTTTTTTTACATTTTGGACATCCATTATAATATAAAGGAGTTTCTTTTATAAAATTAATTACTACGTTTACTTCGGCCCATATTTTTAGGTTTTCATCTATTCGGTGTTCGCTTTTAGCTAAATTTATTTCATCTATTATATCTATGAGTGTTTTTTCTATATATATTTACTATTTTTATTCGTTTTCGTCAAGAAGGTCTTCTGTTTTTTTCTCTTTTGTTAAAGAATATATAATATCTGAATTCTCAAATAATAAGGGTCTGGATTTATTATTATTTTACTTCCATAGTTAATTAAAATACTTCTAGAATCTCCATATTCAGAAATATACCCGTTTTTTATTAAAACAACATCTCCCATATTATATTAGTTATATTCTGTTTATTTCCCAAATAAAGTTAAAGTTGTCTGTTCTTAAGATTCATCGAATAAAACAATATCCCTTTTTGCTTATTTTATTCCTGCCTTTGATACTATTTGCTTTATTTCTGAATTCTATTTTACTATGGCAATTATATCAACTTAGTCTTTTTATTTTAACTTTTAAATATCTTTTATTAAAAATCTTTTTAGTCTTATATGTTCAGCTTTTAATTCTTATTGTACTTAGGCTATTTATGTTAGCTTATTTGCTATTATGGTATTTTACTATGGTTTTCTATTAATATATATTTTTAATATTTTTATCTTTTTAATTTTTTTTTTACTAAATATTAGTTTACTGTTTTATATATGCATTTTCTATTATACAAGTTATTCCTTCCTATATAAAATCAAAAAATCTTTCACATTCTTAAGAAAAAAAGGTCATTGTAATTTCATCATTATTTTAATCCATTAATTCAATTGAAAATATTTATTAAGGTTCCCCTTTTTTATTTGTAAATGTGTTTTTAGTTGATTTTCTAATCACTTTTGCTTTCAAATATAAATTTTCTTGATGAGGATGAAGTTCAGATATTAATTAGTATTTATTTTATGAATTATTTCTATTATTAATATCATATACTAATTATTATCCTAATTATAACTATTATTATTAATTATTATTATTATTATTATTATTATTATTAATCTATTTTTACTTCTTTTTTATCATCTTTTTTTAATATATTTATATTTATATTTAATTTTATTACTTTGAAAAGACGGTATATTAAAATTTGTTTATTCTTGAGTTCTACTTTTTTCTATAAATTTTTAAGGAATCTAATTATTGCCCTACTTTTTTTAACTATTCTAAGATAATATAATTTTTAACAAAAAATAAAATACAATATAAATTTTACACTGTCTTTATAGTCTTTATAATCCAAAGGATCTCCAATAATTTCAGTGATGTTTGTATATAAAACTTCATAGTCTTGAATTATAGTTCGATCTTTAGTAGTTTCGATTTCATTATCAAAATATTTTTTTACTTAAAGTATATCATATTATTTTACTAAAAAAAATAAAAAATAAAAAATATTAAAAAAAATTATTTTTTTACTTTCTTAACAACTATTTGAAGCTGAATGCATTAAATATATTTTATTATATCTGTAATTACCGTCAGATAGGCATATTCTTATTTTTTTATTTAAAATAAATAAACATATATTATAGGATTATTATTTTTTCTATAATATAAATATTTTACTTATATATCGAATCTGTTATAAATTAAGGAGTAATCAATACCTAAAGAACGTATTTCTAATAATTATTATTTGAATTTATTAAATTATTAATCCCTTATAATGTTAAAGAGTTAATCATTTATATCAAGTTTTATTTTTTTATATAATTATTTATATATATATATATATATTTTATTTGTAAAATACAATTATAATTTGTTCTAATCTTAAAAAATAAAATAAAATTTATAGATTTTAATTATTTTTGATATATTTTAAGTGTTATTATAATTATAAAAGGATATATATATATATATATATATATATATATATATATATATATATATATATATATATATATATATATATATATATGTTTTTTTACCTAAATATTATTATTTAATTTAATATGTTTTTCTTTTTAAAATAAAAAATAATAATATAAATTTATAATCTAATTGTAAACAAAAAACAAAATTATATATAATAATATTTCCTTTAAATAAATATATATAAATAGTCAACACTTATATATTGAATTTATTAATAATATTAATAACAAATGTCAAAAAAATAATATTTAATATAAATAAATTCTTACAAAAAAACAAATTTATATAATAATTCTAACAAAAATTCAATAAAATCAAAATATAAAACATTTTTTATTTCAAAATATTATTTTTTTGAATAAATTAGATATATCGAAATCAAATTAACTATAAAAAAAAAATATTTAGAAAATTTTTTGGGGGTGTTGGGGATTAGATATTTTTTCTGTTTAAATATATTAATAGGGCGCGAGAAATTCTTGTCTTCTAAATTCACATATAAAAATATATGAAAGATAAAAATGACTAGGCGACATGACTTTTTAATGAAAAGTGTTAAGGTTTACTTATGAATTTTATTAAAAACATTATTTAGATTATATAGATAAAAAAATTTAGTTAATATATTTTTTTAAAATTAATAACAATTTTTAGGAGAGATTATGATGCTTTTTTAAAATATAGAAAAAGAACTATAAATATATTCAGTATGAATAGATTTTAGACTTTATAAATATAAAAAACCTTCTATTTAATAAAATAATGGAAAAATTATAATCCCAGATTATATTTAATATATTATTGATAGTTATATAAAAGAATTAAAATATAAAAAATAGGAATATATATTATAAATAAATAATGATTTTTAATATAATTATTTTCTATTAAATATATTAAGCCTAAAAAATTAAATATTAAATACATATATATATATATATATATATATATATATATTTATTTTTTTATATTTTTATAATTATATATTCATTTATTAATATATATATACATAAAATATTTTTTTTTCAGAAATTTACTCTATAAATTTTATAATCAAATGTATTTTAAATATATATTAATAAATTTTCAAAAAAAAAAAAAAAAAGTTATACTAAATAAATTATATATAAAACTAAGCCTAAATAAATTAATTAAAATATATATTAAAAATGATTTTAAATAATACAGATTAAGCTATAGATAATTTATATTATCTTCTTTGGTTAAAAGATAGTGGTTTAAAGGACAGTAGTTTTGTTGTTAAAATTCCCGACACAATAATAATAAAAAGCAATTAAATAATGAATTGGTTTTTTTCATCAAAAAACAATGACGGTATTTTAGTAAAAAAAGATTATAATTTAAACCATAAAAATATTTTTGAAACATTTACAAGGAAAATATCTAAAAGTGGAATAGTAGCCTATTTTATAGAAAATATAAAAACAAATAGTAGTGAAAATGAAATAGTTATTAGATATTTTACAAAAGAGAAATTTAGGGAATTTTTATTCGCTGAAAAAGAAGTAATACGATCAGGAATTTTATAAAAGTTTATAGATCCTTATGGGGAAAATCAAACACTTATTTAGGCTATATATTCCCCATAATTATGCATTTTTTCTAAAAGAGTTAATTATAGACATCTATATGATAATTCTTATGACCCTTATGAACGTTTGTTAACTTTTGATGGGGCAGAAATGTATTCTAGAACAGTTCCTTTAAGAGGAAAGTAAATATCTTAAGAAATGAGAAAATATTGTGAGAATATTGTATAAAGGATTTAATATGTGACTTTTTAGAAATTAACTATTTCGCGTATGGTTGTTTATTTTAAACCGGATAAAAAAATAGGCTTTATTTTTTATATTGTAGTTCTATTAGACTACAAGACGAATAATTACCTGCTAATATTCCTTTAAAAAAAATGAAAAATACTCCTTTAAATCTAGATAATAATTACATAAGACCCGAAGAAATAAAATTGATTTAAACCACAAATACCATGAGACCAATTTAACTAGAAAACGATATAAAATGCTTCCATTGTTAAGAAAAAATTCAATCTAAAGATCTAGTTCCGGTCACTTATGAATTTATTATTAATAATTTCGAGGAAAATCCGAATGCGTAATATTCTAAAGTTTCAAATGTGGAAGTCATTGAAGTTCCCCCTGTTCCTAATTTTGTATTGAAAAATAAAAACTCGAAGTTTATTAAAGATTAAACTAGTTAAATTCCGGCTCTTTTGGCTAAATTATACCCTAAATTAAGTTTAGAAAATTATTTGAAGTTTAGAAAAAATTAGAAGTTTTTAAACTAAAAAGTAACCTTCTTTTTTAAAAAAAAATATAAAAAAAATTAATATATATAGAAATATAATATATTTATATATATATATTTATATATATATATATATATATAGTTTTAATAACATATATAATAAAAAAGATCTAATTATGTTAATATTGTTATTTAGATTTTACAAGATATATAAAAATTAGTGGAGCACCTTTGAAAGGATAAATAGATTATAAATTTATGAAGAAAGGATTGGCAAAAAGAGGAAGTTTATTTACTAGAGAAATGAAAGTTATAGTGGGTAAGAAAAACGCAGAAATGGCTGAATAAAAAGGCAGTGAAATTGCAAAATATTAAGATTCTGGAATAATAAAAAAGATGATTGACTATTTATTATAAGATATGGAAAGGGTTAATAGATAATAAGCAAATAAAGAAAATTAAACTAATTAGTATTTAGAAAATAAATATTTTTTTCTATAAAAAAGGCCTAATAGTTGTATAAATTTAAGCAGAAAAATCAAAGTTATTTAGAAATAATTGACTAAAATAAATACTGGTACTTTAAACGAAGAATAATAAATTAAAAATGATGTTTTCACTTATTGTAATTAATATGATAATAATGATTAATCTAGTTTATTATAAAAAGAGCAAGAAAAAATCGAAGAAAGTATAAATATGTATATGAATAAAAAATAACTGTTTTAAACTGATTATAGCTCTTCTAATTTTAATTTCGAAAGTAAATAAAATAGGCCAGTTTCAAGAAATTCAACATAGTCTAGGTCTAATTAGTTTCCTACTTTAAGCTCTAGGCCAGAAAGTTGTCAAGTTTAGAATAATATGAAGATTCATGGCAATAAAACTGGTTTGGATTTCGGATTAAAAAGACCTTTAAATTAATTTATAAAAAAAAAAGATATAGAAGGAGGTTAATAATAATTTACTAATTAAATAAATAATGAAGATAGAAAAAATGTAAAAAATTTGGATTTTAAAGATATTAAGTTTGATTTTGAGGGATTTAGGTAAGATTATTGTTAATGAGTCCTTTTTTTTTTTTAAAAAAAAAAAATAAAAAATAAAAAAAAATTTAATTATATTTTTTAATTCGAAGTTTTTTTTTTTTTTTTTTTTTTTTAAAAAAATTATTTATAAAAAAAAAATTTTTTTTTTTTTTCCAAAAAAAAAAAAACCCCAATTTTTTTTTTTTTTTTAAAAAAAAAGGGGCCCCAAAAAAACAAAAAACAATTGAAACCTTTGGGAAACAAAGTCCCCCGGACCCCCATAGGACTTTCCCATTTGAAAAAAACCCAAATTTAAAACCTTATTTTCAAAAAAAAAAAAACAAAAAGGATTATTTCAAAAACGGCGATTTAATTTTATAAAAGGGAAAATTATTTTTCC